ATATTTCTTTATTAATATCTTAATATATTATTATATCTTATATTAACCATTTGCATACACAAGCATTATCCGACTCACTACTCCCAACCGCAGACGCAGGCTTACAAGCCACTTTTTCGTGCGTTTTTCAGTCAATTTCTTGACTTTTCCCCCCTTATGAACAACACATTTTCTTACACGATAAAAGCTCCTTGTGGTTTCTCGGTTTGTCCGATTTGAGCATCCATAAACAACGCAAAACACTGGCATTTTGAGTTTCTGCTAGTGATTTCTATGGAGAGAAAAATCACTTCCTGCCCTCCAGCTGCATTTCACGCGTCATCAGAATCACGTGATTGCAAACAACCTATTGAATCACTCTGAATTTAGAACATTTGCAGTTGAATCAAGTGAAAAAGCAGTGAATCACCAATCAAACTGATTTGCTGTCAACCCCAAGTCTTATGTGGCCTCCTCGGTTTGGATCTTTATGGTCCTAAACATGGCCGCAGTCTATTTCCAACATGCTAAAGCTGCCAATTACCTAAACCACAGATCAGCATGGTATCTTCCCATGGCTAAGAACCAAGTGAACGAGTGATAGAAGGTTTGAAATGAATCCTCCAGTTAAAGCAGCATTTTCTGTTTCGCAGTTCATTCAAATGGACAGCCTTTTTTTTTTGGACTGACAGTCCTGGGTCTCTTTTAACCTACTGACTGCAGTGTCCTTGACTCAGGTGTGAGGATGCTCTGAGGAAGAACAAGTCTCTGATCGGTCCAGATCAGAAGGAGTACCATCGAGAGCTGGAGCGGAACTACACTAAACTGAGAGAAGCTCTGTTTCCTCTTATCAACCGGAAAATCCCTCAACTCTACAGACCACTGCCTTTGCCAACCACACTAACACAGAGGTAACATCACACAGTTTATCTGAAAACAATCATACCACAACTACAGAGCAGGCCATAGCAGCCTGGTTACTTGTAAACTAAACCCATCAAACTCATGAAACATCTGTGCATTCTGACTCCTGCAAGATGTTTAGCAGCCAGTCACCATTTTTTGAGTGTAACATGCACGACACACTAATATAGTGTTACGTCTACATTCAATAAATAAGTATTGATGGGTATAATAAATTAAATACATTTATCATAAATATTAATATTTCTAATTTAAAAAATTTAATATTAAATGATTATTAATTATCAAATTATTCATAAAATAGTCGATTATTACTGAAATAATTATTTCCAATTATCTAATTATTAAAACATTGTTTATTCTTATTCATATTATATTATTAATATTATTACTGTTACTTAGGGCCCTATGATTTCCGCCATGCAGAAAACGCAGAATCCAGTCATAAAAATGGAACTTGCTGTATAACACGGAAAGTCACAGAATTTGACAAATTTTGGATAAACAAATCAAAAGTAGGTTACTACACTTGAATAAAAAATGTAAATTAAAATTTTTTAATTATTATTAAAACAATATTTTAAGAATTATTTACCAGAATTTATTTACCAGAAAAATGTAAATACACAACACCGTATTTCTGAAAAAATAAATAAAATAATAATAAATATTTTTTTATGAAATCAATTACTTGGAGATACTTTTGGTTATTAAAATTTAATGAAACCATTAAAATGGAAGACAGAAAATTTATGGAAAACACAGAATTTGGTCAAAATAAAACTGAATTTGAGAAAAGAAATATTTCATAGGGCCTTAATGTAAGTTTTTACATACAAACTTTTCATAAATTGCTGTTACATTGTGTACGTTTCATGACTTCAATTAATTAGACATGCTTTTTGATTAATAAAATGTAATTTAATCATTAAAACAGAGTCTAGAAAAATTTAAATGGAAAAAAACTGAATACAGAAAAAAACAGAATTTAGAAAAAAAATTAAATTGATTTTATAGGGCCCTACTAATACTGTCATTGTTAATATTATTATTATTATTATTAATAATAATAATAGAAAATAATATCTTGTATAAGTAATACAATTAAAAAAGCAGTTTTGAAGGTATCTTTTCACTTTTGTTTAAACAATGTTCTAATATACAGTTGCATCTGTATTCAATAAATAAATACTACTAATGTGTATAATAAATCAAATAATTAAATGAAGTGTAAGTGTCTGTTCACCTAATATTATGTACTATTATTATTATATATATATAATTGTAAATAATACAATTAAAATAACAGAAAATAATATATGGTATAATAAATAAATAAATACAAAAAAAATTATAATAATAAAATGAACACATTTTTGTTAAGTGACTTGTTTTCTCTCAGAGCCATGACCCAAAGTCACCAGAAGGGATTTATCCGAATCGAGGATCTGTTCTTGCTCATGTTTACAGGAATTCTCTCAGTCGATCCAGTTTTCGGCGGGTGGAGTGCTGAGGTGTAGCGGAGCCGAGCGCGGGTGGATGTAAAGCCAGACATGATCTCCCGCTCCATCATTCAACCCCCAGCCACACACTAAAACACACGGCACATTCCTCTCTCAGGCACAAGCCCTCCTGAGCCAGTCTCTCTCTCCCGCAGCTTCAGTCTGTTTACTCTGAGAGGTTATCTGCTGTAAACAGAGTCATTATGATCTTCATGGGCACAGCAGAATAACCGGTCGAAGTAGTCATCAGTAGAGAAAAACGAGCTTCTTGCTCAACGTCGGAGGTCATTTTAGGTTCTAACCAGCACACGGCATTCAGATGCTCCTCTGCATTTCCTCCTGCATTTCCGCTGTTTGATTTATCTGCTTGCACTCAGTGGCTTAAAGCATTTGTAAAAGCTCTGTCTTTTTGAAGACTAAGCACTGACAGACCGAGCCCAGAGACTGACTGACTCAGAGAAGACGTGTTTAATCTTTCACGTCATTTGCGCAAACTGTTTTTAAATCTAATTCTGCTGTTGGCTCAAGCATTTATTGCAAAAAAGCAAAAAAAAAACAAAAAGGAAAAGCTGGATTTGTTTCAAGATTGTAGAATGTATATAGTGGAGATCCCTGGCTCGTTCTTTGGATGCGTGTCCCTTTGGGTAACGGAGGAAGCATAAGGCATTAATATAGTGATTAACTGTGGAAAAAGTTCTGCACTGCACTAACAAAAGAGCACACTGACGTTCTGCACTGACTGCTTTGAGTTTTACTGCCACTGCTGCACCCAGTCCTACTTTCAATTTAATGTTCATGTTATTGTAAATGCACAGTAATGTAATGTATACTATCCATGTTATGCACTAGTATGTAAACTGGAAAAAGGAGAATGGTTTAGATGTTGCCATTTTGGTTGTTGAATGTAGATAATGTCCTGAACTAGCAATACTTTCGCCTACCTACTATAGCTGGACTGCTGTAATATCTGTCTTGCACTATTTTAATGTTTGTATGACCTCTACTGCCTGTCTCGACACTATACTGTGCAAACTGCTGGTCTAAATACTGTATTTTTAATAACCAAAATGATTTTTTTTTTTTATTTGTATGTTTGTCCTTTTTCTTTTCCGTTTTACTTTTTATATTAAAAGAAACTTCTCCCATTTTGTTTAACTGTAGCTTTATTTAAGTGTTTATGTATAGATGTAGAAACACACAGACATAAAACATAAATAAATGTGTATTAATTTATTATTAATAGAATGTATATGTAGATGAAGATACACATTACACGTAAATAATAAATGTGTATTATGTGAATAATAAAATTATTAAATTTTAATTATTTTAATTATTAAAATTTAATAATATTAAATTTTAATAATTAAAAAAATATATAATTTTTATTTTATTTTAATAATTAACATTTTTTAAATTTTAATAATTAAAATATTTAAATTTTAATAATTAAAAAAGGAGTATTCTCCTGCTCCGGTCGTAATATGAAACATAAATAAATGTGTATTAATTTATTATTAATAGAATGTATATTATTTACAGTATATTCTCTGTAGTAAATATATTGTAAATAATATGTTAAGATGTTTTTTATAGTAATATGTATAGATGAAGATACACATTACACGTAAATAATAAATGTGTATTATGTATATCATTCACTATATAGTAAATATATTTAAATAATATTTTGAGGTAAATTAAAAAAAAAAATTAATATGTTAAAAGCTGTAATATAGCTGTTGTATATTAAAAATTGTTTATGTATGCTAATATAGATATGCCTATTAAATGTAAATATTAAATGTTATTTATATTAATAAATACAAATATTATTTACAATATTCAAGTATAGTAAATGTGTTGTAAATAATATTTTAAGATAATTTTAAAAATATTAATATATTAAAAGCTTTAAGCGTTTATGTATACTGATATAGATGCACACATATTAAATGTATGTTTATATTATTAATAAATGAAAATATTATTTACAATATATTCTATATATTACAATATATACATTCTGTGTATTTACAATGTATAGTAAATATATTGTAAATAATATTTTGAGATATGTAAAAATATACGAAGATGTACAAATAGACGGTTGAAGATATTTCTTTAAAACCGTTTTTGAACCCTCTTCTTTTCACGTGCAGCTCTTATTAATCTCCTCACAGCTTGATTGTCTGCTTCTCAAAGCGACCTCCATATTTCTCCCATTTTGTTTAACTGTAGCTTTATTTAAGTGTTTATGTATAGATGTAGAAACACACAGACATAAAACATAAATAAATGTGTATTAATTTATTATTAATAGAATGTATATGTAGATGAAGATACACATTACACGTAAATAATAAATGTGTATTATGTGAATAATAAAATTATTAAATTTTAATTATTTTAATTATTAAAATTTAATAATATTAAATTTTAATAATTAAAAAAATATATAAATTTTTTTTTTTCACAACCTATGATTAACACATTTCTTGTTGAGTGCTGCATTTCTGTCATTTCCAAAGGAATTGTCTCAGGCCTCAAAATTTCCCAATCTCTCGCTTTCTTTTGGCATTTGACATCCTAGATTTTTACTTCCTGGTTTTTTATAGTAATATGTATAGATGAAGATACACATTACACGTAAATAATAAATGTGTATTATGTATATCATTCACTATATAGTAAATATATTTAAATAATATTTTGAGGTAAATTAAAAAAAAAAATTAATATGTTAAAAGCTGTAATATAGCTGTTGTATATTAAAAATTGTTTATGTATGCTGATATAGATATGCCTATTAAATGTAAATATTAAATGTTATTTATATTAATAAATACAAATATTATTTACAATATTCAAGTATAGTAAATGTGTTGTAAATAATATTTTAAGATAATTTTAAAAATATTAATATATTAAAAGCTTTAAGCGTTTATGTATACTGATATAGATGCACACATATTAAATGTATGTTTATATTATTAATAAATGAAAATATTATTTACAATATATTCTCTATATTACAATATATACATTCTGTGCATTTACAATGTATAGTAAATATATTGTAAATAATATTTTAAGATATGTAAAAATATACTAAGATGTACAAATAGACGGTTGAAGATATTTCTTTAAAACCGTTTTTGAACCCTCTTCTTTTCACGTGCAGCTCTTATTAATCTCCTCACAGCTTGATTGTCTGCTTCTCAAAGCGACCTCCATATGGTCAACGTGTCATTGATATGTAACGAGACAGAGAAATAAACCGCGCCTGTCCATCTGCGACCTAATAGCAAATTAATATCATCTTAATGTCATTTTACAGCCACATGTGGACGATGGGTGTCCTCCTCGTCATCATAGATCGGTGACGTAAGGCCATTGTGACGTCATGTCCCTAGCATATCACCAGCGTTCTCAAATCGCAATACAGCGATTCAATGTAACCGCGTTCAAGCAGAATTGAATACCAATGAATGATTACCGATATGTTTCCCGAGCGACTATTAAGTAGGCTAGTTGTGTGTTGTTTCTCGCGTTACTGAACCAATTGCCTTATTTTGCGAGGATTTTTTCAAGTGAAAATAAGAAGGGCAACTATTTGAGGAGGATTGTGGGATTAAAGGAAGAGTGGCTCTTTAAGAGCGGAGGGAGGGGTTCGCTTCACGCCTCGGCTGCGGTGTTTTTGTCTCTGCTGGCCTTATCGACTGAGGGCACTGGAAGGGGTAGGTGACAATACACGCATGCTTTCTGCTTAACCTTCTGATTTTTTAATGGGGAAAAACATACTGTATACGTGTGCACGGTCGTTTTTCCATTTGCTTTCGTGGTTGTGATGCTTAGTCTTTGTGCTGCTCATTTGTACAAGGCTACTAGTTTCAAAGTAACGGTACTACGATGGGGATTCACCATTTAAAACGGATTTATTGCTACTATATGACTCAGTCAGTGGTGCATTTATTTGAAAAACAATGCTCGCTTTTTTTGGTTGATTTATATTATTATTATTATAGGAATATGAAAATAAAAAGCATCTATAACGGGAAGCGCGCACAATGTGTGATCCTGAGAGTTCAGAGACACGCGTGTGGAATTATATTTAATTCATAAGAAATGTAATCACTTGGTTGTTGAAAACATTTTAAAAAATAAATAATAATAAAAAATTCGTTTTAATGTAATCTGGGATCTTTTGCGGACGCGCGCCTTTTTGTTATGGACAAATCAGGTCATAATACAGCTTTTATGTGTTTTACCTGAATATTGCTGTAATCGTATATTTAAACAGGCTCGATGGGTAAATGAGTGCTGATGGCGGTCTGGGGGTAAATTCTTCATTAAATGAAAGCCCCGTGACTGCTGTGACTCTGGGGAGAGGGTGGGACTGCTGGAGTTCTTCATGACTTCCAGATGTTCATCACTTTGCTGCAGTGGTTTTGAATTCACTGGCCAATAACTGTTGGGCTTAACACGTGCGCTGATTCAAATGAGCTTGTTACAGATTGTGAAACACCTCTTGAATGTGTGGAAAAAGAGCGAATCAGCTCAGTGAGCTTACAAAAACGTATGTTTTTGTTGTTGTTTATTAATTTATTTTGCGTAACTGTGACATTTGAACTTTTTACTATATTGCTTTAGTCACGCCACGCGACTTTGTGTTTTTGTTTTGGGGTTAATTTCATTCTTTCTCGCCTGTCGTGTGTTTAACTAACAGCTATGAGGGTTGTAAAGTGATCACAGCAGTCGCGTCGTAGCGCGCAGGGCAGGAATGCGCGTCGTTTGGCGCACGGGGTGAAGTCGCAGGAATGCGCGGTTATAACCCCGTTTGTACGGTGGACCACACGCTGGGCGTCTAAATGTTGTTTGCAAGACTAATGAAATTAAGCCACAGGATTACGTCTGAATCTGTCCCGAGCGCCTTTAATTTCCTTGAATTGTCGGTGTTTCTCAGCGTGTCACTTATGATCGACGTCCTCTCAAGACCTCGCCCCCCACAGGAAAGAAAAACACAAACGGGATCTGCATCTCAGTCGTTTCTCTTTGATGGTATTGACACTTTTCAGATTTCAGACTCCAGTCTCTCACACATATCTGCTCTAGAGTATCTTAAGTGATCTCAACTGTGCTTTAGACACCAGTGCTTGCTCTCCAAATTTATTTCATAGCCTTTATAGCTTACTATATGACCGAAACTGTCTTCTCATTTGTGACTTTTTGTAGTTTACTGAGGTTTTTTTCAGAAAACTCTTCATTCAGAAAAATCATTCCTCTGAGCGATGTGGACCTGTGTGACAGTGGGCAGCTTTGGTCTGATTCTCAGCAATTTTATGGCTTGTCATGTTCGCTTTAACTTGCCCCCAGCAGGCATTATTCTGCTTGATAGGTGTGTAAATCTGTCTGTCACTTTAAATGTGATGTTCAATTAATCTTAGACAATGCCAACAATCATCAAGCACGCAAACAATCACCATCATTCTGTTCAGTCGGCAATAATTTCTAACTTTTTTGGTTCAATAGCCTGTTAGTTCCCATTGAAACATCACATCAAGTATTAAATCAGTGAAATCTCATTGCTGTTGAAAAGTATGAGGGCTTGCCATTACCGCATCGCATGCTTGTCTGCTGTATGTTCATTTATTTATTTGACAGTGACAGCAGTCATTATTCTGTAAATGAACCAGAGTTAACCCTATATAGGCTAAGTTTCATGTAGTGTTCATGGCCAGTTCCTAAAAAGGCCAGCAAAAATTTCAATTAAATAATTTATCACAAATATCTCATATAAAATAATGCATTCAGACCAATACCCAAACCAATACGATGCACACCCACCAAACAAACAATGCAGCACAAACTGTAACTTTATTAGCACACTCCAAAAAAAAGTGTTTGCAAAAATGTCAGTAGGCATCTAGTATTCTAGTGTTCACATATTTGATTAACAAGCCACATCTTCAGTTAAATAGTAAGGGTAAGTAGACTGACTAAAAGCATTAAAAAAAAGCATAGATTAGCATATTTAATCACATTTGACCAACTCTGAAGTCTATATTTATTTAAGATTTGCCCACTATGAAAGCTGTTAAGTTTCTGATCTAAACGTAGGAGGGTTGTTTATATAAAATTTAAAGTGGCATCATTGTTTCTGTTAGCCTCTGCTCATCTTATCAAACAATATGTGAAATGTGTAATGATTATCAAAGCAGTGTCAGGGCTCAACACATTTCTAATAAAGCTAAACTTATTTAAATTACACATACCTGTTGACATTTTTTACATGTTTTCGAATAGAAAGATATATCATGTATATATCATATCTCATTTTGTCCTTATAAACCCTGTCCCTTTCTAATTCAGATCTGCCTCCATCCAATCAACAACCGATGGGTAGAACCAAGTCCCCGCCCTTCATTTTTTATTTTTTGACAGTCTGTTTTACTCTGTTCAGCGTCACATTATGGAAGAAAAGATCTGTCTCTACTTCAATTACATCATGACTTTGAACTCATTTTGCAGCTTTTGCCCAGATATCATAATATCTGGTTGTGACTTAATACATGGCCTTTTGAAAAAATGCACCTGTTTTGGTTACATTTAGCTTAAGACATAATCAATTTAACCATGTTGTAATATAGCTCATTACACAAGTAATTTTGGAAGCTTCTTGCTCCTTTGTGCAGTGTATGTGCCTCATTTTCTGGCCCAACAGAAAGTAAAGAACTGCTCTAATCCGGAGAAGACATTAATCTGAAGGGGAGAATGGAAATTTTAGAACAGACTGGAGTCCCCAGAGTGAAGGTGTGTCTCGGTGTTTGTCTGCTGCATGTGTGGGACATGTGTTCTGGGGTGTGTTCTGTGCCTCGTCTATTCCAGAAGTGCTCCGTGAAGTCTCTCGCAAAAGTTCTGCGCAAACTTCAACGCACAGCCCTCATTTTATTGTAACTCTATATTCATTCAGCTCTGTCAGGATGTATGAGAGTTGCCCTCTGGAAGAGTTTTGGTTTCCACACGAGCGGTCTGGAACCTGGAAATGGCCGAGGCTGTGAACGTTCCCCGTGAAATCTGCTTCCCTTTCTCTTTGTTTACATTAGCGAGCAGAGTCTGACTAACCCCTAAAGTCTCCCCTCCACAGCTGCCCCGACCGCAGTGATGAATCGGCACCCCTTACGTACTCGTGACCTTATCGCTGCTGCATGACACGACACTTACAATATGTCTCTTTTGTTTGTCTCTTTCTACTTCTAAGCATTTATATTCCCTCCCAGTTTGTCTGTGTCATTCATCACCCTTAATCCCAGTTCTCTCAGGAATTTGCCGTTAGTTCTTTTTTGGAGGGGTAAATTTGGATGTCTGTGGTGGTTCCTGTTGCCCGGCTCCACCCCGCGGGCCGTTTCCTGTTGGAGGTCAGCACAATGACCAATGGCGACGCGGCGTGTGTTTGTTCTTCTCCTACTCTGGTCGTAACGTGAGCAGAGAGAGGCCCCTCCCTGGGCCTTGAGCTTTGGCTTCAGGCCGTGGTGTTTCTCTGGATGCCGTTGTTTTCTCCGTATACCACTCCCTAATGGAAAAAATAGCCCTGTATGTGCAGGGCATGCGAACAGTTTCCAGCATCGGTCATAATTTTCTGTAAGGTCCTGGTTGGAACTTTGCAACAGCCTATATTTACGAAGCTAGCAGGTTTGTTACGTAACCCCTAACCCAGCGGAAATGTCCCCAGACGGTCCACAAATTGCGAAGAACTGAGCGCCGAGTTATGCGTGTTATTCTTCCATGAATGGATATCAACAAGATCTGGTCGCACAACAACAGCTTTGGACCACCAATGGAGAAGTATTCCTCCCAGAACAGCTTCGCCTTACTCAGGGTCAGAAATTAATGGGGGGTTGGGGCAAAAATACCACCAAAAATGCCTCCAAAATTCAAGATAAGGGCCACTTTTCCATTAAGAGGACATATTTGGCCCCTGAAATTGATTTTTAGGGGCGTTTTTTATACTTACCTTTTTAAATGATGAATGAATCTGTGTTGTCTTTTTCTTCACGTTTCCTTTCAGCCAATTACTTAATTGGAATCACTTTCAGAAAAAAAAAGCTTTTCCCAGCTGATGAATGATAAAAACTTTGACAGCCAATCAGAATCCACCTGAGTTAAAAGAGCTCGAGTGTTTGAATTGACAGACAATAAATCTCAAGCATGTGCTTGTAATAAACAGGACGTTATCGTCCATTGGTGTGGATGCTAATAAAGATATCTTTATAGTTAACATTTTTGGGGCCTAAAGCCCAAAGCATACTTCACTTTTTACACTAGCGTATGCGTACAAAATCGAAGTATACTTTGGGCTTTAAGAGTTGTCAAACGTAGTTCAAAGACACGGCACAGTTCCAGCTTTGTCTTATGTTTTTTCTTGAGTGGTTTGAGGAATGCACTAAATACGATCACAGTCGGGACGGATGAGGCCTTTTAAACTGTGCTGAGTTTTCCTTAAATTTCATCTAGCCCTGCTGTGATTTTATACAGCATATGGTCAGCAAAGATCACAAAACGTAAAGCCAATGGCATTTGAAATGACTCACGCTGGGTTTCTTAGTCTGAAAGCAACCGAAAGTATTTTTGCTGTAGACGTTTCCATTTAAATTATCACCCTTTGCTGTTTTAGCCTCTCCCGGTGTCCATCCTGGACCTACACCCTTTGTCTTTCTGCTCGCCTTCCTGCTGAATTTGCTGTGTTTTTTTGTCTGCTCTGTTACTGTTTCTGTCTTTTCAGTTTTTCTCTCCCTCCCTGATTTTGAAGTCTCCCCTTCGCCTTGACTGGGAGGAAGTGACCGACTACTTTCTGGGTCTTTGGGGTCTTATGTGCATGTGTTGGCCTTATCTAAATTTATCACCATCCACATAGTCATTATGGTAAAAATGACTATCTATTTAATAGTATACTATGTGACACAGTTAGGGTTGCAAAGGGGTGGAAAATTTCCAGTAAGTTTCCGTAAACTTTTCAAAAATCCCTGGAAGATTAAAAAAAATCCTGGAAAGTTTCCAAAATTTCTGGAATTTTTCCGAAATTTACTGGACATTTTCCACCTTTTTGCAACCCTAGACACAGTGCATGATAAACAGTGGGGTGTACTGTATATACAGTCTGAGACCCCTTTATTTAGCATTTTTCTTATTTATTTACAAATTATGCTATCATTCAAAAGTTTGAGGATAGTAAGATATACATTATCTCACAGAAGTGAGTACACCCCTCACGTTTTTGTAAATATTTTATTATATGTTTTCATGTGACAACACTGAAGAAATTATTCTTTGCTACAATGTAAAGTAGTGAGTGTACATCTTGAATAACAGTGTAAATTTGCTGTCCCCTCAAAATAACAACACACAGCCATTAATGTCTAAACCGCTGGTACAGCGAGTACACCCCTAAGTGAAAATGTCCAAATTGGGCCCAAAGTATCAATATTTTGTGTGGCCACCATTATTTTCCAGCACTGCCTTAACCCTCTTGGGCATGGAGTTCACCAGAGCTTCACAGGTTGCCACTGGAGTCCTCTTCCACTCCTCCATGACGACATCACGGAGCTGGTGGATGTTAGAGACCTTGCGCCCCTCCACCTTCCGTTTGAGGATGCCCATGCTTGGCCAATCCATCACCTTTACCCTCAGCTTCTTTAGCAAGGCAGTGGTCGTCTTGGAGGTGTGTTTGGGGTCATTATCATGTTGGAATACTGCCCTGCGGCCCAGTCTCCGAAGGGAGGGGATCATGCTCTGCTTCAGTATGTCACAGTACATGTTGGCATTCATGGTTCCCTCAATGAACTGTAGCTCCACAGTGCCGTATGACAGCACTTTTTTTTAACTTAATTTCAATATTGTGATAATACCGTATACCGTAATAAAAGCATTAGCAATTAATCGCAACATGAAAATTTGATACCGACATATCCCTAATATATATATAATTGAATCTTTTATTTTTTTCCAGAAAGGATGCATTAAATTGATCAAAATAGCAGTGAAGACATTTACAATGTCTTTATAACAAAAGATTTTAATATCAAATAAATGCTGTTCTTTTTTAAACTTTCTATTCATTAAAGAATCCTGAAGAAATGTATCTCGGTTTCCACAAAAATATGTAGCACAACTGTTTTCAACAGTGATAAAAGTAAGCAAATCTGCATATTACAATCATTTCTGAAGGATCATGTGACAAAACTAGAGTAATGGTGCCGAAAATTCAGCTTTGCATCACAGGAATAAATTACATTTTATAAGATTTTAGAAAACAGAAAACATTAATTGTAGTAATATATATTTTTTTAATTGCTATTTTACTGCATTTTTTAATAAAATAATGCAGCCTTGGTAAGGTTTTTTTTTTTTTTTATCTTATCAATCGTAACTTTTGAATGATAGTGTAGATTATCAGCATAATAATTTGACCAAAAAGTTAACTTGAAAATTAAAAGTGACTTTTTGGCTTCTTCCCTTTTTTCTTGAATGAAAACAGCACTCAAGCTGCACATAAAATGTCTATTTTATATCAGTGTTTCTTGATTTAATTTTTAAATCTTAAATCATTGTTTATTTGCAAATTAAATTTTTTTTGTTGTTGTTGAATCTCAAATTTTTGAACTCCTCCACTATATCTTTGTTACATCATTTTATGTCATCCAAACAAATGCCAATGTCCATAAACTCACAACAAATTTACTCATAAACCGCTAGCGAATACATCCAGAAAAAGAAACATTAGAAAGAGTTTATGGTTACGGTAATTTACTCTTTTTGTTTTCCAGAAAGAATAGGACTTTCTCAGCAGTGGGCAAATGAGAAGCATTACGTGTGTTTTAAAGGCAGTCTCTCTCTCTTCGCCGTGCTCCTCCCATCTCTATATTAGAACCAGCTGTGGAGTTTGAGGCTGAATGAATGGCTCTTTGTGATTTGGCTGTCACTCCTGTATAAGGCTCTGTTTCTTTCTCCCTCTAGAAACTGGCATGACAAAAGTGTTGGAACAATGTAACCTAATGTTCCTACTTTGACATTGTTACTCCATAAAATCGTATCAATTCACCACTAAGACTGCAGAAATGCATGTATGAGATGTTGAGCGTTAGAAGAACGTGCCCTTGATTCTTCAAGTGTAAGTTTAGATGACCAGAAATGAAATGTCTGTATTAGATTAAGAGGATAATTTTCCAGTCATGCAGATTTTTAACCACAAAGTCGCTTGAACCCTGCTCTTGTAGGAGTGTTTGTGAAGGTCCACGATGTTCTGGAATGTTTCTCGATGCCGTCTGGTGTCCGGCAGGGGTGTGTCCGTCTCTCTGGGTTTAGGCGGGTGACTCAGTAGAACTCCGGATCAAAAAAACACGGCTCACAGCGCAGAGCTTTCCCAGGCTCGGGACGATTTGCCAAGTAACATGTTGTTGTGGTTGAGGGAGATGAGGGGTGTGTTGTGGTGGTAAGCAATGATGATAGAGAGCCAAGACGAATTAGTCTCTTACAGAAGAGGCTTTTTTGGATCAACTGTCGTAAAGAGTGGCTTTTCTAGTGCTCAAGATGACTGCAAACGTCTAAAATGAAGGGTGCAACTGACATCGTACAAAGAATCTGCCAATGTTAGTCGTAATTTAAACCGTTCTCTAAATAATTCATATTTTCCCCTCTTTTAGGAGTTTGGTGGCATCCATAAGAGAGTCGAAGGAATCGAACGAGGAGAGCGAGGAGGTCGGGGAAGAGAGACCATCATTGCAGCACAGTGAGTTATGACTGCTATCTTTAGACAAGATACAAATTACTCAAACAGTTCCCTTGAGTTTAAGGAGTCAATTTATTCCTAGTTTGTAGATAAGCATCCCAAATTCCATGTCATAGCCAAGAAAAATGAAGCAGCTTGTTGCAAACGGACCTTGAGTTTCACACAGTGATAAAGAGAGCTTTGAACATCATCATCAAAACTAAACACCGCGTAATGTTTATCTGTTCCTCAGAAAGCTTGCTTGAGTGAAACTAATGACCAGACCTTTTTTCTTGACGTGTTTTCATAATATGAAACCAGCTTGGAGGAATACAGCTTTCCTGACTCCACAAGCATGGCGAAATCACTCCTACTGGCCACCGAAAGTAGACCGATATAAGACTTCCCTTAAGATTACTAATCTTAATAATGTGGCGGTGGGTGTGGGACACCCTGGAGGCAGGAGATGTCAACTTCCGATGCTCTGGAATGTAAAGCGAGGGAAGTTGGGAGAGAGATACTGAGAGAGGGGCATGGGTTTAGGGCAAAGCATTCCTTCCGGAGGAGGGTAGAGACTGGCTGTGCTGGTGAAAGGTTTGCTGCATGCCACTGAGAAGTGGCAGGGCGCTGCAGGGGAGAGGGGCACACTGTGCTCTGTTCAGTGGCATCTCAATGGGACACTGTTTATGAGCAGACAAAGAGCGAGGAAGGTCACCGCCACACATGCACGCATAGTGCCCGATGCAGCCCTGTTCTTCAGCAGGAGAGGGTGGACATGGTGGGCTGGAGAAGGGGATTGTTCCATAATGCTGAAATGACAAGAGTCAGGAAACTAGGTTTAGACATTTACTGTAATGTGAACGGCACTGTGGTATTTCAAGGGTATTGCTATGTGATTGCTGAAATGTTGCTAAAAGTGGTTTGAAGTGTGTCGCTTTGCAGTATTTTGGATGGATATTGATACGCGGCTGCTGTTTTGAGTAATTTTAGCATGTTGCTGAACAATTAATCGAAACGGAGCGTCTATCTACACTAAGTGCAAATAGTCAGCCTTGTTGGCAGAGGCTATGTGCACTAACTGTGTTTGGGATAGACGATGTTACACAAGATGGCTGCCTAACAACAACTCCAGTGTCGTAAATGGTAAAGCGTGTAACGCATTCATTTTGAGGCGATCGACCTCTATCCCTCAATTGAATCCGCCTTTTGCCAAACTAATTCTACTTCCTTTTTACATCTTATATCACATCGGAAAGGTATATATTTTCAGTAAGAATGAAGGAAATAATTGAAAAGTTGAAAATAAAGTATCGGGTAGGGTTAGGGTAGATGTAGGGAGGGCTTTATGAATGAATCTTTATTTTCATTGTATGCACCCAATTAGGGCTGCTCGATTAATCAAAATTAAATCGCAAAGGCGATAAATCATGATTAGGCAGAAGCTGTGATTGTCATGCGTATCTTTCAGTGAAGCACGGTTCTGTGATCAGCAGTAAATCTCCATCTGAAGGCCAGAGGGCGCTCTCGCGCTGAAACTCCAAATACACCTCGCAGAAGAAACCCAGGAAATGCCTATAGTGGTTGCTGAATAAACAGAAGGTTTAACTCTACGTGACTAATAAACACACGACTACGACAATATATGTTTTATCCGAGTTCGTCTTATTATAATTTTTATTATAATAAAGTATATAATAATGCAATGCTAATCGACATAGCCTTTATCACTGCTTAGAATACTATGAAATATGTTGCGTGCCTTATTCTGTGTAAGAAGCCACATCATCTCACAAAAGGATTTATTTCAAACACTCGACTGACGATATGAAGTGAGTTTGGAGTAAAAACATGTTATTAAATGTGGTATTTTCACGTGCTTTCAGATGGAACAGCATTTACTACACAGAGCCGTAGTTCACTGACAAGCTACGCAAACAGCTTTCATAATCACAGAACGATTTCTTCGGTTTCATAATCGCGCGATTAAATCGTCTGCGATTATGAACGCGATTTTGCGTAGCTTGTCAGTGAACTACGGCTCTGTGTAGTAAATGCTGCTCCATCTGAAAGAACGTGATGAAGATTTACTACTAATCACAGAACCAGCTTTACTGACAAGATACGCATGACAATCGCATTCGATTAATCGTGCAGCTTAGAACAACAAAATAGTGCTAACAGCTCTTTAAGCTCTTATTGTTACAATAAGGCTGTATCCATTTAATAATTTTAATAAAAATTATCATTTACACTCAACATGTTATTATTGCATACTGTTATACATGCAGATAATTGCCACTATTTGCAGTATGTAGTATAAATAGCAGAAAATAAGTCTACTGCTATTTTCGCTTAGTGTAAATAGAATACACCGCTATTTACAATTAGCACAAAAAGCCGCTGCCAAAGCAAAATTGTGATATGGCTAAGTGTGATTATCAAATCGCAAAGACTGCTATTTAATTAAATCTATGTACAGCTCATTTCGGAGCTAAATTTACACTTGAGCACTTCTTTTTTAATGTACAGTGAAAGTATTATTACAATAGTAATTTTTCTTATTTAGTTTAGTTTTTTATTTAATAATATTAATAATCATCATAAAAATAGCAATTCATAATAATTATTATTATATTGATATATAATCCAAAAATGTGGCCAAATTGAGCAGCCCACATAGATAGCAAACCTGTAGCTCTTAGAAAAAAATGCTTCAATGTTGTTGTTTTTTTTAGCGCCCCTTTAAAATACATATATATATATATATATATATAGATTATTCCATTGAAACACTTTTTCTATTGTAATGTCTCTAAAATGTTGAAATAAATCATAACTAATTTTTTTTTATCGCAATAGCAATTTTTATTCGAAAAATTGTGATTACATTTTCTCCCCAAATCATGCAGCCCTAATGCTTAGACATTCTGAATGTTTGCTATGAGGTTGTGGAAGTGTTCAGAGTGGTTTTTAACATGTTTCTATGCAGTTACTAGGGTTTTCTGAATGGTTGCTAGGTGTTGCTTAGTGGATGAAAGTCAAAAGAGCCCAACCCTTTTGTCTCTTTGAAATTTTAGTCTTTAGATATAAGTATATGGGTGTTTTTTTGGCTGTTTTATCAGTTGACGGGAAAGTCATATGTAGGTTATGGCCGCTGGGAAAAATCAGTAAGCTGACGATTTGACTTAGTACTAACAGTGCAGTATGATACAGGATGAGTTGCACAGTTTAAGAGTTTGTTCAAATCTTAAACCCTAAATATGAACAATAATAACATAGATGTTAGAAGAATAGAGCAGAGAAATAAAAGTGAGAGACAGAGCGATGTGTTTGTGGCATAGTGAGAGAGACAGGGCAGTTATTGCTGAAGGCTGGATGTTTGTCATGCTGTGAGCCTTTACTGGAGTCTCTAATTATGGCACATCAACCGTCCCCCTGTCAACACTCTTCACAGCACTGACGCTCAAATTTTCACACATACACACACAAGTTTGTGTGTTAGCGCTCACAGTAACATTTCTCAAGTGTACTCAACATTCATTTGTGTCTGTGGCAGGGGAATAAAAAACCCACTAATTAAGATGATATTGACTTAAGCAGCTCGGCATGTTTTATTAAAATCTTTTTTGTCCTGCATGGCCTCATTATCATCTTTCTACATTGTGATATTTTTAATGGGCACAGTCAGAAACAACATACAATGTTTATTTTTTAAGTTTTTTGTATTATTAGCATCTAGTATTAATGGTAAAATTGCAGTTTTTATTCTTTCTTTAATTTTTTTAATGTTTAAATGTAATAGTTTTTTCTCTGTTGTTTGCATTAAAAATGTTATATTTACCCTACATATCCCATTTATTGAAAGTAGGTGATGTGGAAACTTGGGAAATCTTTGTGACAAAAAACTGACTTGCTTACCAAAAAAGCTGCAAATGTTTAACAAACAAATAAATAATTATATTTTTGTATTAATGTTTTTTTTTTTTTAAAGCATTTAAGTAACAAAAAACTGAGACAAAAAGTCTCAGAATGTATGTACTGTATGTATATTATATGTTTGAAGCTACATACTAAAAATAAAATATTCCACATTGCATCCTAAAATTATGAAGGTGAAAAATAGTGTATTTGTTGTTCTTAACATGACATCTGAATGGTAGTGATAGTTCAATAAGATTAATTTCATACAAAACAAATACAACCGGATGTCAAAATGGGGCACTGTGACACAGCTGAGAGGCCTGTTAAATGAGTGAGATTTCAAGTGTAAGGAAGTGAGCAAAAGCACACAGGATGGGTAGTGGGCAAGAGAGCTCATTTTGTCGGCTTAAGATCTACAAAATACCAAATCAGTTCAGTCAGTGTTTCCGTATATGCCCTACTTTCTCCTCAAAGAACATAAACAGACTGAGAGGGTCATGAGATTAGACAGAGGGGAAAAGTTTTGTGTGAGGCAGCAAGGGAGAAGCAATCTGCCATTATGAACCGAAATGACTGGAGCAGTCAGCAGTTCTCTTTGAGATGTCTGTGAAGTTCGAGCCCAACTCTGTGGTTTAATATGCTGTTAATGTTGGGAACAGAGATAGCTCGTGGCACTGCACCCCCCTTCCCACTGACTAATGACCTAGAAAGTTAATATTTGGCAAAAAGGCACATTAGCTGGGAAAGATGCAATGCTGAGGGGAAAAAGAGAGCAGTCTAAAAGCGCAAGAGCCAGATAAAAAAAGAGAGAGAAAAAAACAGTTATAGTAAGGCCTGTGCATGTAATGCTTCTGCTTCATTTTACCTAATTGACTTAAAGCTGGAATGCTTTGCCTCAGTCGAAATGCACAACTGAGAGAGGGGAAGAAGGAAGAGCGGACAGAGGTCAGCTGCTATCTCCTGATCATCAGCTGACAGAGTGAGGAAAAATAAGGGAGAAAAAAGGAGATAAAAAGTGTGAGAGAGAGAGGCCAAGCAATAGTGCCTGTGTCTGTGTTTTTTCACAGTACCTCAATTCTGAGAACCACAGAGAGCGTATTCAGATGATTCCTAATAAGGCTGTAACCAGACGCTCTTTCTCCTGTTGTTGCCTGCCAGAGAACTTTCCCCTCTCCTCCAAACAAGAGAACTAGAAACAAACAGAAACTGAACAGTCTAACTTTGTAGGGGATAAAGAAAGGGACGAATTACAGGGAGTTTGACCCTCCTAATTAAGACTTGAACCCAACACAAAAGATTTGTGTGGGATCTTAAAGGTACACATTCAAGTCAGTGTTGGTTAATTCTACATATTTCATTAGTATCATTTTAACAACATTCACAAACGTCAAAAGTTAGCTTACTAGTTAAATGCTCAAGAGTTTTCTGTTAGGATCTATAATTATTTATAAATTTGCATTTAAATAGGTGTATATCACTACTTTTATCATTACTTACTTAACTGTGCCAGGGTGCCCAAAGACCCCCCTGAGGGGCACTGTATAATTTGTTGGACTTCAAGGAATAGTTCACCCAAAATGTACTCGTCCTCATGACTGACTGACTTCTATGGAACACAAAAGGAGATATTTTGAGAATTTGAGATTGAATTTAAGACATCATCAGCTGAGGAGTAAATCTTATTCAGAAATGGGAAACGAGGAGAATTTAGCAGCTCTGATTCATATTCATCTTAACTTTTCTGCTTTCATAACGATTCCATTAACAATCCTTTAGGTACTTTATTTGGAAAAAGGAAACATGGTTCTCAGTTTCAAACCTAACATATCTTAGATAACTTGAAAGTACCATTTACCTCCTGTGAATCCAGTGCTAATGTGGATTTTGAGCCTTTCCCCTGCTGGTCTGAGGAGTATATTTGTACGCTGCAGCTTAATTTCTGATTTAAAGATTTTGAATGAGAGCTGCCTATTAGGTTTGGTAGCTGGCCATAGATCTCATAGGTTCAATTGGAAAATTGGTATTGGTTACTTACAGTATCTTTCTTATCCAGGAGAGATTGGCTGGTGAATGACAATCATGGCTCAGGTGCTTCATATGGACTCCAGTTTTCCAGGTAAGGTCCCACTTTGAATCCGGATACTACACATACTCTAATGTTTATATATTGTGATTCTGTTGTCTTTCTCCAGTTCATCCGCACTTAAGAGGCTAACTAGTAAGTTCACTAAGTGAAGCCCTGATTCAGTCATAGCTTTATTCTTTTCCCTGTTGTCTGATTCAAAGATTAGACCAAGATTTCCTGCAGTTTAAAGTTGTTTCCTCTATCCTTAGGGAAGATTAACCCCCAGGAGCCCCCCTCCTTGCATGGAAAGGACCCAGAGGCTCCATACTCAGTAGAGACCCCCTATGGCTACCGTCTGGACCTGGACTTCCTCAAGTATGTCAATGATATTGAAAAGGGCAACACTATTAAGAAGGTGCCAGTGCAGCGGCGCCCACGTTATGGCTCGCTTCCACGTGGCTACGGATACACGGGCTCCTGGTGGACTTCCACTGAGTCACTCTGCTCCAACGCCAGCATGGACAGCCGTCACTCGTCGTACTCCTACTGTGCCCCTGGATTTCACAGCTCACAGCGACCCAACTTTAGTACGACACGCGTGGAGAAGACCTTGCTGGACGCTCGCCGCAAGCTGGAGGAGGAGAAGGATGGCTGTCGTTTCTCGAACCTGGGCAGCATGCACAGCAGCGTGGCAAGCTCCAACACCTCACTATCCAGTGCCCACAGCTTCAATCGTGCCCAGGGAGGTGGCTCCTATACGCCAATGAGCTCCGGCTTGTCCACACCTGTCTCACCAACGCCCGCCCATCTGCAGCATGTACGGGAGCAAATGGCCATTGCCCTGCGGAAGATCCGTGATCTGGAGGAGCAGGTGAAGACCATCCCGGTGCTGCAAGTGAAGATCTCCGTGCTTCAGGAGGAGAAGAGGCAGCTTAGCGTGCAACTCAAGAGCCAGAAGTTCCTGGGTCACACACTGGGGTTCAATCGGAGCCGTCCACGAGGAGAGCTCTACATCGACATACCCGAAGAGGAGACGGGAAACGGGACAGGAGCCACGAATAGAGCCACAGGAAGTCTTTCACCTACCACTCCGGGTTCCCTTCAGGACTCAGGATGTGAAATCGAGGAGACTGTAATTGTCGGTGGAGCTCATCCGGGTGCAAAGCGGGAGGTGCGAACTGTCGGTGTGGGACCTGAGGTGGTTTACCATCAAGTGGGAGTTGGGGTGCGAGAAGAGGACTTGGGGCTGCTGCCTGAAGCCGAAGCCCTCAAGACTAAGGTGGGGCTTTTAGAAGTTCAGCTGAGGAAAACGATGCAGGAACTACAGAGCGCTCAGCAGCAAGTGGAAGCGGCTCAGAGAGAGAGGCAAGCTCTTTCCGCTCAGGTGGGCCATGCGGTGAGAGCCACCAGTATCGGCTGGCAGGAGCAGCAGGGTCAGGTCGGTGCGGGCCTGCACACAGTTGTCAGTTTTACTCAGCAGCCTCATCAGCAGAGGACCGTGGGGATCCAAGTGTACACGCTGGAGCAGCCCACAGTGGTGGGTGTGGGGACGCTGCTAAGAGCCCAGGGTTGCACTTCTCCCGCTCAGCCTGGGTCTGCACTGGAAGGAGCCCACAGAAGACATGCAGAGTCCCCAGCAGCAGAGGGTGTGTATATCTGTCGCTATTTACTCACCTTCATGTTGTTCCAAACCTGAACTTCTTTTCATGGAACATGAAAGGAAGCAGAACATTTGTGTTGCTAACAGTGAAAGGGTAAAAACAGTGTTCACTTGTTAAATTACAAAGAAGCACCATGAAAGTGGTCCATGCCCCATATTAGTATTCTGACACCAAATTTTAGCTTTGTATGAGCAACAGAGTGAAATTTAAATCATTATTCACTCAAATCTCCTAATTCTCCTAATCCTAACCCAACTGAATATACACATGAATATACACATGTGTATTCAGATATGTTGAGTGAAGACACAATGTGCCAAGCTTAAATGCAGTGGAGCCATTGCCCATTTGAGCATTCAAAATAATCTGGTTTGTTCCTTATTTAAAGCTGTTGTATGGATTTATAACTTTTTGGAATAATGTGCATAAGGGGTCATTACACTTTTTGTTCCATTGACTTCCATTCTTGTGGGAAACCAGAAACACAAGCTGATGTGAATTTCATTGCATTGGAAAACTCTGACCTGTAATGTCATATTGTGTGAAGATGCATGACCAGTAGACCAAAAAATCAATACGTCACAGCGTTACCTCTTAGCTGAACTGCTGAACACAAACTTTAAAGGTGCAGGCTTGCAGTAAAGTAAAGAATGATGTATATTTTTACATTTTGGATTGATTATTATTTGTTATATGTTGAATTTATGTTTTTAAAAAAGGCACTACAGAGCATGACATTATATCTTGTCCATAGCAGTGTCCACAGAAGTATAGTGTGACCACCCTTAAGTCATATGGTCCACTTTTATAGTGCCGGTTTTACATTTTTGGAGTTACACCACTTCTGTTTCTGTTCACTTTCACGGTGTTGAAAATTGCAGCATGGATAATCTCCATTTCTCCAAGAGAAAGAAAGTTGAACCAACATTTTTGGATGAACTATCCCATTAAACTACCCCCTTTCTTTTTTTGCCCTCAGAATCACCACGTGAATTTCCCATTGCAATAAGCTCTAAGCAGGTGCGGGAGGTCTTGAGAAGTGAAGTGTCCAAATCAGTGCCAGTGACCAACCAGGCAACTGCTATGGAGACAAAGTGCAGCAAAGTGGCAGCCGTCTGCCAACGGCTAAAAGAGGGAGAGATTTACCAGCAACCAGCAGAAGAAGCCATCCAAATCGATCCAGCAAAACCAGGTTTGCTTTGTTGTTTTTAGTAACTGCTGATAACTACACATCAGGCATCTTCCATATATTCTATGGATATCTATAAGATAACTAGTGATTTTTACACTGTCCATGTGTGTGTTTTTTTCCAGCCTCCCCTCAGTCCAACCTGAGGTCAATCATGAAGCGAAAGGCAGATGGGGAACCTGGCTCTCCGTACACCAAAAAGAACCTGCAGTTCATAGGAGTCAATGGAGGGTAAATAAAGCATTATGTGAATTAAATAAGTATGTTGTAGATATTTGTTTCAACAGCTGTCATTGAACTACTATGTATTTTTGCTAATGTTTCTTTTAGCATAATGTATATATTGCTCAGACTATTTGGTTAAGGGTGACTTTTTGGTTTTTGGAAACTTGATATTAAACTGAAAACAAGCACAAAACTATTATTTTGCTGCCTTGTGACAATTTTGTCTCCTTCAGGAACTGCACATCTTGTTTAGATGATCAATTTGGGATACATTTCATTAGATCAGAGGGTTTTATCTGGTAAATAAAAGAGCTAATGTGCCCTGCAGGTACGAGTCGACATCCTCTGACAACAGCAGCTCGGAAAGTTCCGAAGATGAGAGCGATGCAAGCGAATACCACGAGGCTACTGAGAAACTACCGGAATCTGTGGCTCAGCAGTCTCAGGTTACCTCCTGCAGCCTGCAGCCCATCTGTGAGACAGCAGCTGCTCAAACACCTCAGCACAGCACTGCCCAGCCACCAGCCAATCACACTGCAGCACAGCAAAGCACCAGCCAATCGCAAGCCACGGATGCAGCTACCCAGCAACAGGTCACCCAATCACCAGCAGCAGAGGCAGGCATACAGCACTCTGTAAACCAATCGTCAGTGACCACCACGGCTCATCCGGAGGGCATCGTTCAATCAGCAGATGTTTTCCAAGGGCGTACCTCTCAAAGCACTGCCGCTTCTCTTGAACAAGACTCTGTCCAGTTGTCACCCACCAGCGTTATGGTGCAGCAATCCAAAGCCACCGATTCAAACGTCCAGCCAAATCTCACTCAGCCAGATGTGTCGGGCCTTGCTGCTCAGCAGACAGTCACTCAATCACAATCCACCGGTGCCAAACCTCAGCAAGATGTTAGCCAATCAAAAACCGCTGACCTCACCATCCAACAAGGAGCAACACAGTCACAATGTACTGATGCCTCAGCAAAACAGGACATAGCCATATCCTCCACCACTGATCCAGCTGAAAATACAAGCACCACCCCTACTAACAAACAAGCAAGCAGGTAGGGAGACTCAACTCAGTGACACCAAGCTCTTATGAGATTCACTTTTGATTATGTAGTTGGCTGTAAATGCTGATTTACAAAAATTTCTCTTTCTTTCCAGACTGGATTTGAGTGGCAGTCTCGTGGCGGCCCTCCACACCTTGCAGAAGGCACTCAGTGAACCAAATGCATTCAGCCATCAAAATGCAGTATGTTCATCAGTTGTGTTCTCATGCTTAAAAGTGATAGATAGCATAGTTCATAACTTCAAAGTGAAGTATGTAATTACTTTGCTTAGAAAATTAGTCTGTATTTGCATAGGGCCCTATGAGTCCTGTAAATGTGGAAAAAAACACGCATCCATCCAGTCATATAAATGGAATTTACAGTATAACATGAAATGTCACAGAATTTGACAAATTTGGGGTGAATAAATCAAAAGTAGGGCTGTACACGTAATCAAGTCACAATATGTATTAGTTTTGAGCTAGGCCTTCACGACAACTTGTTAAAATAAAAGTTTGGTTTAACTTGAAATTGTGACAGAAGTACCGTATTGTCCCGAATATAAGACCTGTTGTACAGTTGAATGTACTTTTCAAATAATAGAAGTAATAATAATAAAATTAATACAACGTCATTTTTTAAAGAAGTATCACACAATTCCTCCATGTTTTATTTTTGATAGTAAACCTCTGTTTGTAGTGCTTTGTTTGCCAATAATAAAAGTAATTGTTACATTTTCATTTGATTACATTTTAAAAGATTAAATAAATATTAGTATGGTTACCACCTTTTTTAAATTTTTGTATAATTTAAAAATTAATATTAAATCATAAACCCAGAACAATTAAAACGGATAACACAGAATTTCTGAATTAAAAAAAAAAAGTTAAATAGATTTAAATTATTAAATTGCTAAAGTTTTATTAATTTAATTAATTAGACATGCTTTTTGAGTATTACAATTTTATTTAACCAATAAATCGGAAACCAGAAAAAAATGTAGATGGATTTCATTGGGCCCTAGTATTTGCTATATTTTTGACTGCATCAGCCATTTCTATTGTTCCATTGATGCATTTAAAAATAGAACAATTAGCATCACTATTGTTATTGCTTATTTTACTACATTTCCCATTCAAAACCTTGCCATATAACTCATCCAGTACTTTTCGTGCCTCAGGCATGAATAATACCTCAAATTATTGTTTCTAATCAGAATTATCATCATATAGAATCATATATAAAACTTCATTAGACTTGATTTGAAAATGTATAAACATATATATATATGTACTTTACCAGACTTGAGGTTGGACACATGTTGTTTGAGCTCCAACACTGTGGTGGCAAGTTGTGCATGGACAAGCGCCACTCATATTTTATTTTATGACCCGCCTTTAAAACAGCTATTCAGTCATATTGAGGATCTGCTAGTAAACGAGCATGATGTATTTATTGCAATACACTGTAGTAAAAGCCCGTTTCTGTCTCTGTCTCTGTCTCTTGTGTTGCCAGAGGACAGCCTACACCACAGTGCTGCAGGAGTGGCTCAGAGTGTCCTGTCATAAGGCTGCTGACACTGCAGTTGTCAAAGCATACATGGACACCTTTGCCTCCATTTCTCCTCAGCTACTGGAGTTTGTCATCAACATGGCTGACGGCAATGGAAACACAGCTCTGCACTACACTGTCTCTCACTCCAACTTCGCTGTAGTCAAACTACTGCTGGATACTGGTGAGCGACGGTCTTCTAATCTGAGCAGTGCTCACTGCTGACGCACTGTTTTCGTAGGCAGGCACATGCTTTGACACATTATATCATATCTCTCCTCTCCCTATTTCTATGTTACAATTGCAAAAAGGTAATTCAGTGAGGAAAGGGAAATCAGTAGCGTTCAGTACTTAAAGAGTGTCAATATTTTGACCCTGGATGACAAAACCAGTCATAAGTGTCAATTTTTTAAATTGATATTTATACATCATCCATTGATGTATGGTTTGTTAGGATAGGACAATATTTGGCCGAGATACAACTATTTGAAAATCTGGAATCTGAGGGTGCCAAAAAAATCTAAATATTGAGAAAATCGCCTTTAAAGTTGTCCAAATGAAGTTCTTAGCCATGCATATTACAAATCAAAATTAAGTTTTAATATGTTTACAGTAGGAAATTTACTAAATATCTTCATGGAACATGATCTTTACTTAATATCCTAATGATTTTTGGCATAAAAGAAAAATCTATAATTTTGACCCATACAATGTATTGTTGACTATTTGACTATTGTACTTATGACTGGTTTTGTGCTCACAAATTTTATTATTAATATTTTAAATTAAATGTTTAATGCTGTTTGATTTTTGAGGTTGGTAAGATTTTTCAGTGTTTTTAAACCGTTTGCTCACTAAGACTGCAGTTATTTGATTAAAAAGTACAGTAATATTGTAAAATTTTATTACAATTTAAAACAACTGTTTCTATTTAAATATATTTTAAAATGTAATTTATTCCTGTGATGCAAAGCTACATTTTCAGCATCATTACTCCAGTCACAGGATCCTTCAGAAATCATTCTAATATGCTGATTTGATGCTCCAGAAACATTTATTATTTTTATCAATGTTGAAAACAGTTGTGCTGCTTCATATTTTTGTGGAAACCATGATACATTTTTTTTCAGGATTCTTTGATGAATAGAAATTTCAAAAG